AGTTGTTTAAGAAGTACACATGGAATAAAGTGAGGGACCATGGGTGGCTTGGTGGTGGGTGAGAGGTGGTGACAACCCATACCTCTAGATCATATACATGTTGTAAGCCAATGTTACCTCACTTACCACAACCAATGATAATAATAGCAATAATAAAAGAAGTGGTCTTAAGTCTAGATGATAAAGCTGAGCTGCTGGTCAGCAAGCCATCAAGAATAAACTAAAGACTATAGAAACTGCTAGCCTCTAACTACTGATAAATAAAGGCCTCAGGCTTCCCTGTACATAAATACGGTAGGAAGCTCACAAGTCACAAACCGAAGTCATCTTTTCCCACGGGACCATCAACCAAGTGGTAAGTCAATTAACTGATTTCCTTGGAATCCCCTCCTAACATTTTTAAACGTTTCCAAGGAGAGCAGTTTTTGACAACCTCTCTTCATTTGTACTGGAAAACTTTTCCTTCAAGAATTTAAAGGAAAATAAAAACACCCGGCGAATCGCCTTCTGAGAATCCCGTGCCCTGACTTCATTTGGTATTCCTGGGAATGCTGCCAGAGGAAAGGATTCTGCACGCTGCTGGAGTTTATTTATTATTTACCATCCTCCCTAATTTGGATGATCTACTCTTTGAGAATACATACTTAGGGAAAAAAAGCAGGAAAATCAGCTAGAAAGTTGTGAGTGAGCAGACAACATTTTGTCATAGAATTATGGAGAAAAGAGTAAAGCAATCAATTTGAATTAAATCCCGGATGACTTTAAAGTGTTATAGCAATCAAGGGCTGGCATTTACTTGAAGACAGATATGTATTTTTCTACAGGATACGTATTTGATATAAAAGGTACACCTTCGTATCTTTTGTGAGAATGTAGACGTCACATAATTTTGGAAGGTGAAGTTGAATGGGAGAAATCTCTTACTTCATAACCAGGAAGGGGAAGCCAGCAGAAACTTAACTCTGTTGTGGTAATGACAAATGTCTCCTATACTAGCTGCTTGTTTTTTTCTCTGAGGTATGACTGGCTATTTGCTTCTGGAAGGCCAAAGTTGTTCAACACATTTTTCACTCCTCCAAGTCGATAAAAAGTGCCTGGCATATGTTGGTGGTTTCTGAATCAAAGTAAAATAGACACAAATTTGCACTCACATCTGCAGAGCTCTCTGCTCGCTACCAGGCATTTCTTGATGCTCAGATGTTAAGCCAGTCTCCTTTCTAGATATCTCAAGCAGCATTTAATCCACATCTTTTGTACTATTCAAGATTTTCCACTACCACAATATTCAACTTTCTGAATCGTTTCTCTATCAAGAAAGAGGAAGGCATTTTGCTCACAGTATCTCTTTCATTCTTGTAGTTACTTGTAGTAACTTCTGTGACCTATTACTGCTGTAGTTCAACTGCCACATGCATAAAGACTGGCATTCCCACACTGCCCCCACCTGCTCGAATGTGGCTACAAAGCACCAGGATGATACCTTGATACCTGCTTGAAAACCCCCCTTTATTACGGAGTATAATGGACATGTCATATATTATAATAGTTTCAGCTAAACAACATAGCAATTCCATATTTGAACATGTTCTGAGATGATCACCAGGCTTAGTCCAGCTTACATCCATGTGGAATGCCTTTTTTTCCCCCAAAGATTTATTTATTTATGCATACAAGAGCTGGGGTACAGGCCAGATGCGTGGGAGGATGAGAAGATTCACCAGAGACAGAGTGGGGAGCAGAACAGGCAGTCTGACTGAAATACACTGCTGAGGGGAGCAGCGGGTGAGACAGGAGAGGTCTGCTGCGCCATGTGGGCTGCTCCCTGGCTGACCAGGGATCGAACTTGTGCTGCAGAGGCTGAAGATTGCTTCATAGTGCTGTGCTTAACCCCTTGTACCACCATGGAGGCCCTGGAATGCCCTTTCTGACTTGCCATCTTCACTACTCACTGAACATGCTAACACTGAACTCATCCCTGGAAACTGGTCTGTGTTGATGACACTAATCCTTCAAGTGCTCAGTATCCATTTCTTTCTCTTTTTTAAAGATTTATTTATTCATGCATACAAGAACCGGGGTATAGGCCAGATGTGTGGGAGGGTGAGAAGATTCACCAGAGAGCAGGGAACAGAAAAGGCAGACTGACTGAAATAAAATGCTGAGGGGAGCAGCAGGTGAGACAGGAGAGTTCTGCCGCGCCATGTGGTTATCTCCCTGGCCAGTCAGGATCAAACAGGCACTGCAGAGGCTGCAGACAGCTTCACAGTGCTGTGCTCAACCGCCTGCACCACCAGGGAGGCCCCACAGTGTCCATTTCTTGACCTTCCCTCCTCCTCCTTCTCCTCCTATTTCATCATAAAGATCACAGGCACCCCTACAGAGATTCTTACTCAGTCCCCATCAGGTAAGTGTATACAAAGTAGTTACAAAGAAAATTCACACACATCCCAACATGTCCCAGCTGCTGTCAGTTCAGAAGTTTACACAAACTATTGTACCCCGCCTTTTCCTCTCTTCACATTTCTGACACCCCATACCCCTGACACCCCACCCCTGAAGCAGTTCCCATTTCTATTAAGGGGACATGAATTCTCTGTTCACCCAAACGCCTATCACACTTTGTTTATATACATGTATCATTGCATCTATCAATTTGACGGTTATAAAATTATGTATTCAAGTATTGCTCTTCATCCAACCATAATTTGTGAGCTCTTGGAAAGCAGTAATCTAGTCATTCAGACTTTCTTCAAAGTCAGACCCACCACAGTGCTGTATACATAGTAAGTGCTTAAAAACCTGTACTCAATTAAAAGAAAATGAGATGGAATTTGCAAGAAGCCTTGGAGTATTAGTAAAATATTAACAGAGCTATGTTCAAATGCAATCTGATGGAAATTCCATTTGAATGGCTGAAAGGCTTCAGACATATTGTTCAAGGAAACCCCAGCAGGATAAGACAGACTCAAAGACCTAAAATGCAAATTCAGTGTCTTGCTTTTTTCCCGGTGGGAAAATTATTCAATGCTTACTTAGTTCATTTAGCATTGGCAATGAATACCTTGTTTTTTAGCTGCAACTGTTACTGTTTTGGAGTTTTTTTTTCATGTTTTTACTTTTTATCTTGATAAATTTGATCTGAGTTGAGGAATCCAAGTAAGACAAAGGCATACTACATTTATTTAGATATGAGAGTTATTTAGCTACTTGAGAGGGCGAAGAAAGACCTTGATACTAAGAATAAACATCAATTTATGCCTTTCAGAATCACTCCAGGCTTTCAAATAAAATCAAACTTTTATGAAGATGTTTTGTGTGTATATGTGCAATTCTAAAGTTTTCTAGCTAGGTGCAATACCTAGAATTTAAACATTTTCATTCTGGTTTTTTATGTTAAAGGTTAATACCAACAATGCACATTTCTGACTTTCTTTTCACTTTATATTAACAAAAATGACCAATCCAAACCTGAAGATAAATTATATCCAAGTAGATAAACAGGTGGACATGGTATGGTAGCATACATTTGAAAGGCTGCAAACCCAAACCCTTAAAATTACATAGCGTTGTAAACCCAACAATACCTCAATTTAAAAAAATTCAAAATATTTTTAAAATATTTTTTTTCTTTTACTGTAACACTGCATTACTTTGAAGAGCCATGTCTTCATAAAGTTGCTAGGGAATATAAAATTATCTTTGGTTACAAATCATCCGAAACCACCGAGTTTCTTACTTGCGCTCACCTTCAGTTTTTTATGGGTTTAGACTCAGGAAACATTATCGCTTCATTACCCACCTTATAGTAAATTGTGGTTTCAAACATTACAGATATGGACAGAGAAAGAGTTGTCAGAGAAAATGAAGAAGGGTAAGGAAGGTTAGGGAAAGCAAAGCAAAGATTCTTTTGCATATTCTTAATTCAGGGCAACTCGTATATATTATTTACTAATCAAATTGATAATGGACAACAACAAAATCACAGCTATTAACATCTCCGCTAAAAATAATGGACTTAGTTTTATGTTTCCCTGTGACCTAAGTGATCCACACACACAGTGACAGTCCATGTCCTCATCAACTTTGCTGCAACACTTGGGAAAATCTCACACTTCACAATGCACTTTTAAAAACAACGTTGTACATTCACCTCTTTTTTCTTTATGCCACACTTCTTTAGTGGTAAATACAAATTGTGAGCAGCTGAGGTAAACTGTTCCACCCACTTAATTCTTATTTGACATGTTTACTGTCAGGTAAACAGATGCTGCTATGAGAGAAATGATTTTTGTATTTCTCCACAACATACCCTAGGAAGAGAGATAATTTTCTTAGTGTAAAACTCAGCCTTTATTCTGCCAGGCAAAGTAATTATGGAAGCAAAACAAATCCACATTGTCTAATTAGGTCATTAAACAGCATAAATGCGTCATGGAAGCTTTTCTCCTTGTCTAAAACATAAAGTGAGACAATGAAAACAGCCTGGTAATATAGAAAGGTTTACAATTTGTTTCTTTTCAAAAAATAATAGGTCCTTTCATCTTTCTATTTCCCAAAGACGAAGACAGTTAATTTAGAGACAAAATCTGTAATTAGTTCAGGGTTGACTCTGATTATATTTCAAAATATTTAACCAAAAACAGGAAGATGGAGAAAAGAAGAAAATACACAGAGAAATTATCAAAGGAAGTGAATAAAATCAAGAGAGTGGTTTGCTGATCAAAATGCATTTTGCAGCAACAAGATGAATATAAAATCTACATTCATATAAACACAGCCAATCTGGGATCGCAGAAAGCTCTTAGGAGAAATACACTGGCATCTGCCTTTGGGATTTGAAACCAGACTTTAATTACAGCTAACTTAAATAAAAACAAATGGCATGATGATTTTGCCTCTTCCTTTCTCTACTTCCTATTATTTTTTAAGTTTTAGAAAACTCCTGGCTCAAAGTGTTAAGAAACAAAATACAAAAAAGGAAAAAAAAAAAAGAAACTTACCTGAGATCCTCTTGGCCCTCGCTTCTGGTCCCACTCTGAGTGGCCCATGAGCTGTAAAACAACATAATAATGGCAGTAAGTTAAATGATACTTACATTACATGGCCAATATTTTTACTCTTCCTTTTAAAGAATGATTAGGCTTTTGAAATCTAGGCTTTAATTGCAATGTATTAAATAGCCATCGTGAATAACTTAATATACTAAAGTAATAAAGTTCTGGTTGGCTTGCTGAGAGTTCAACTGCTAGTTGCTTGGAAGACATTTTAAGAACACTGTTTGACAGCGAGAGCCTGTCAATGTATAGCTTTTAGGAACATCACAGACAGATGTGAAACCAAGTTAAGCTTTATTTACATATTCGCAAGCTTCTAGCTCATTAGGAAAATCTGCAACAGAAATCCACTGGAGGAGTTTAATCTACTGTCACGAATGGTAAACAAGCAGAAGGTCAAAATATTTCAATGAATTTAATTGTATTTTGATAATGTCACATAAAAATGAAGGTTCTAAAGAGTAAAATTATATAATATGAAATCATGCCCAAAGTCACAAAACATAGATTTTTATAAAAACAGACACTACAAAACCTTATCAAGTTATTCACTTAGTGGTAATAGTCCTGAGCTACTCTATTTACCAGGGATCTTTAATTACTGAAAATAACATTGAACTAGAAGGCTGTTAAGGAAATACCAGATATTGATCGAGAGGAACAAACCTTCACTAATCTGTCCAATATACTCACTATACATGCAAACTCAAACTCACAAACTACTTACCATTTGTGAGCTAACATGACTACAAGACAGACTAAGTAAGGTATGTGCATACATTAGCAATTTTTCTCTGCAACAGCAATGACTCCCTAGTAGGTATAATTAAAACAAACAACAACTTCATAATAGCAACAATGAAAAATAATAAACCTTTAAAGAATACTATCAAGGAAAGCTTGTTAGGCATACAATGAAAACAGAAACATTACTTATAAACACACTCTACTCCTGGTTAAGAATGAATTCTAACTCCTCTACTGATCTTTTTGATATAAGGGAAAGGTGGCTGGGTGGGAGGGGGCGCAACAAAGCATGGGGGAAGATTATTGGGGCTTTGGTGTGGGTATGATGCAAAAACATCCATTAGTAGAAGTATGAACCTACATGCCTTAAAAAAATACAATAATGTAAATGAACTTGCTTCAGTAAAAATATGTAAAACAGTTTCAATAAAATAAAATACTGGAATTAGAAGACTGAAAGACTGAATTCCATAAAGTTATAAAGTATTCAATTCTACCCAAAGAAATTCACAGGTCTGACTCAATTTTAATCAGAAAATTGTATTTTTTAAGAAATTGAAAAACCAGAACTTAAATTTTAATGGAGAAAATGAACTCATAAGAATCAGAAAATATTAGAAGACTTGAAATAATCCAACAGGCTATCAAAACATACAAAACACATATATAATGACTTAAGACTCAAAACATAAGGGAATGACATGTAGTGACAATTTTTAATTAACTCAGGTACATGTAACAGCAAAATATGAAATAGAAGGTATCAAGTATCAATGGGTATTTGATGAAAATTCAACAAGTGAAAAAGAGAAATGGACTCTTGGAAAAATTTAGAGTTGAATCTTACAGTATTCATGAATATAATTCTTGTTAGTATAAAAGATAATTTTAAAAAGATGAAAATATAAGTATAATATAAAATAAAATCTAGGGAAATATTTAAATGAACTAGGATTGTAATAAAAGATTTACAACTAAAGAAACCACAGATCTACTGGTCCAGCTACACAAGATTTTTAAATGTCTATGCAAATAATCCTTTTTGGCAAAATATCTGCAATAAATTCTAAGTAAATGATAATACCTTCAGCACATTGAAAACGCTACAAATTTGGAAGAAATAATAATAACCAGGGCATATGACTGGGGGAAGGATAAGGACAATTTACAGAATAAACAATAAAAGTGAGTAGATTCATGGGAATGAAATTTTTAGTTAAAGTAAAAGAGCTTGAGTATAAACAATAAAAAGCTACAGTTGCTTATTAAATTAGCAAATTGATAATGCTTAATTTGTTGAAGACATAAGGGGATAAGCTAGTATGTATACACACATATTAAAATATAAAACACATACAATGTATGTGTCTTAGAAGGGAAACTATCCAATAAATTATAGTGTAGAAAAAAATATACAGTAGCAATTATAATTTGACTTTCAGGATGTTTTAAAAAATCATATAAGAAATACTCATGGTACACACCTCACACCAGTGAGAATGGCCCATATTAAAAAGAAAAACAACAACCTGGCAATAACAAATGCTGACGAGGAGGTGGAGAAAAAGGAAACTTATTAAACTGTTGGTGGGAATGTAAATTGATTCAACCATTACGGAAAGCTGTGTTCAGGACTCTCAAACTACTGTAATAATGGAGCTACTGTATAAGCCACCAATTCCACTCAAGGAATCTACCCAAAGGACAAAAACATTCACTCAAAAGGAAACCCGCACACTTATGTTTATTGCAGCATTATTTACAATAAAGATATGGAAACAACCTAAATGCTCAAAAACAGATGACTACATCAAGAAGATTTAGTATATATACATAATGGAATACTATTCAGCAATCAAAAAAGATAAACTCATGCCTTCTGTAGCAACATGGATGGAGCTGGAAGGGATTATGCTCAGTGAAATAAGTCAGAAGGAAAAGGAAAAATATCAGATGATTTCACTTATAGGATGAATATAGAGAATCCAAATGATCAGTTGGGAAAAAAAAACACACAACAAAACCAGCAAGCAAACTATAAATCAGAGACATAGGGGGGCGGGGAAGGGAAGGAAGAGGGATCAAAACAGGGGGAAAGAGCACAAGAGACTATGGTGATGGTTCATGGGTGACTTGGTGGTGGGAATTTTATGAGGGTTACACCTGAGAGGAGAAATCAAACATTATACAAAAATGAACTATGATGTATGTGTGTGTGTATGTCTGTATGTGTATTTAAAAAAGAAATATTCATGGTATAATTGGTGAAAAATATAACAAAATAATATTAAATCACTCAAATCATGGCAATGATTTAATTACAGGTTGACTAGTTCAGAATTTTGGGTAAATAATCCTAAAAAATTATAATATAAAATTGAATGCCTACATAATTCATATTTCTTTAATGTCTTATTTAAAAAAATCTGGATTTATTGGTATTGCACTTGGTAGCAAATATTCATTAATCCTCATTTAAAGTTGATTATAAGGTTCACAAAATCTAATCAACTAATGAAATAAATAATCTGATTTAGAAACATATAAATTAAGACATTAAATTAGTTGTTCACCAGAACTATCAAAAACAATTTTTGACACATTTCAATCCCATCATATTGAGGCCTGGAGAATATCTTTCATTCATAATAGAATGATGTTTGTTTTGGCAATTTTAAAGGGATAATCAACTTGCGTTTTAGGCTGGAAGAGAATTTTTTTTTTTTATTAGCAGAAAGCTTTCCTTCTCCATCCCTTTCAAGTTTGTCTATATCTCCTGAACAGAATACTTCAGAAAAAGCTGACTCTTATGACTATTGCCTTCCTACAAGCAATGAGATAGAAGAGGAAATATTAAGAAAGTGATCACACTTACAATTATACCACAAGGGAGGTGAAACATCTATACAAGGAAAATTATTAGACACCATTGAAAGATATAACACACAAAGAAGTAGAAAAATATTTCCTGCTCACAGTTTGAAAGAATCGACATTTGTCAAAATGACCATTTACTGAAAGCAATATACAGATTTAACACAGTCACAATAAAAATATAAATGGCATTTTTCAAAGAACTGGAACCAATAATACTGAATTTCATATGGAATCACAAGAGACCCTGAATAGCAAAAACAATCCTGACAAAAAAGAAAGAAAATGAAAGTATTACCCTTCCAGACTTCAAATCATATTATAAAGCCATAATAATTAAAACAGCCTGGTACTGGAACAAAAACAGACATATAGACCAGTGGAATAGAATTGAGAGTGCAGAAACATAACCACACATATATAGACAACTAATCTATGACAAAGGAGCCAAAAATATACAGTGAAACAATAAATGGTATTGGGAAAACTAGACAAAAGAATGCATACAAAAGAATGAAAGGAGACAACTAGGCTAATGAGTTTAAACTGATAGGCTAGCTAATAGGATTATCCTGTAAATTCTACTGTACCTGAGCATCACAATAAAAAGATCTAAATAAATCTTATAAACACAAACTGTAACCCACAACATCGTGATTTAATGGAGACTATCTGACAATGATAGGTAGTCAGTCAAGAAGGTAACATTTCTCCAAGATCAGAAAAACACCACCACCACCACCCAGCATGGAATTCACTGCCTTTTGCCATTAACTAGCTTAAAGAGAAAGATTTTCAAATAGCAGAAACATCCAAAATGAAGTTCATTTGGGTCACTACTTACTACAAAAGATGTACTCATTAATTTATGAATTAGAACTTAAAAAATAAATCTCCAAAAATTAACTTTCTAAATCTGACTAATGAGGAAGATTCTGGATAAAGGAATTCTATTTTAATCTATTAGTACATATTTATGTTATAAATTAATACCATTATTAGATTATATTTTAAGTCTGAGTTTGCCAAGCATAGAAACATTTAAAAAGTTATGTACATTATTTATTTTAAATGATACCATTTTTACTTTTTCAAAATAATGTCAAGTTATAGAAATACACATGCTATACGAAATATGATGTAAAAAGGATTTAACTCTGAAATTATAAATAAGTCATTGGAATTTCTCTATTCAATAAGAGAGGCTCAGGCAATCAACAAGATTTTTGCCCCTTTGGACTTGAGGAAATTATACAAGAGCTTCACTATTAAAACTCTTATTTTAAATTAAAATCATTAAGTAAAAATTAAGCATTATTTATTCCTGTATTGAGTAGAGTAGGTAAATGATAGTGATTTCTATAATTTGATTTTAA